TGCAAGTATAAATAGTGTGTTTCAGAGGGGAACTGACAACGTGAGACATAGCTGCTCGTAAAGCTTTTCTTTTCTGCGTTTCTGTTTGGTGGGAAACAAAAAGCATCTTGATCTTCCTGAGCTGTGAGCAGAAAATGAACAAGGATGATAAATAGATGATAAATTCATGAATCAAGAGGTGGCAGGAGTTTGTTTATTCTTGATCCATAATGAGATGTCAGGCCAGGCAAAAACATGGAGAAGGGGTCCTGCATAATAAACCTATACTTGATCAGCAGATATATTTGCTCAATTTCCATGAAGTAAGTCTATAAATTCTGACCTCTTTGGGGGACTCTTATTTTTCAGAGCTTTTCAGGAAGGGTTTTCTGCAGCATTAAGAAGATAAAAGACCCTGTCCCTACAAATCACTTACTGCAATGTCCAAATGCTTAACCTTAACTATTGCACGTAGATTTTCTTTGCAACAGAAGGCACAACCAGGGAACCTCGCTCATGATGAAGAAGGAAGTCATATTCCTGACTGGTAGCAGGGGTTCTGTATAATCTGTCCTGAAACACAGATTTGAGTGTGATTGTATTGGTACATCAACAGTCAAATGGCTTCAAAATCAGAGTTACCTTAACAATGGCATGGATGATTTTTAATTTTTCTTGTCAGCATCCATTTTCATTATGTTGCATTACCTCTACATGTGAACTGCCACAATTACCTTGTCCATCTTCTGGGTGAAATAAGAGATCGTGCATAAATTCTATGAAAAATGTATTCCTTTATTTTAAAAAAGGACTATATATTTTTTTCCATTACCAAATGAAAACTTTACAAAGTAAAGCATTTCTTTTCCAATAATATTTTAATATAAAAACTAAAATTGCTTACTGTCTTACTGTTCTAACAGGAAGTCCTGTGGCACTGCAGGAAACTGAACTCGGATAGTTTCAGCCTCACTCCAGTGTCTAATCCGAAGTAAGTCCATCATTTCTTTCAATAAAACCACTCCTGTGTGCCACTTACTATTAGAAAAACATCCTTCTTTCCAAAACAAAAAATCAAGGAAAGTTATGTTCACTAACTCAAAGCAGACTAAACTCTTAATAGCATTATTACAATGAGAAGCTTTGTTTAAAAAAATTTATTTTGAAAGTTAGACACAACTTTAAAATTGTACAAAGACAACAAGCACTCAAATTACACAAAGAGTTAGCAGTGAGTACAATGGAAACACAGCAACAGTGAGTTTTGCCTCTTGCTATATGTAAATATAAATAGAGATCATCCTTGCCAGGCTTCCAGCTCTTCCACTTTTTTTTTTCCTCCTGAAAAACTGTTCATTATGCTACAAAACGTAGCTGAAAAACTGTTCATTATGCTACAAAACCCAAAAGGGGGTATTCCATGGTTCAGTTCAACAGAATCACCAAAAGGGGGGGGTCAGACTAAAAACAGTCCTTCTATCATGAGAATATCCCATACTCTGTGGAATCAAGTTTCTCTCTCTATCGAAAAACAGCTTTTCCTTTCATTGCATCAAATGTTTCACCTCCTCTAAGGACCAGCCAATTTAATGGCTTCAAAATGCTTAAAATATTAGAATTCATGCATGGCTTTCTAGGAATGGGCAAGCTGGAACTAACAGGGCACATACACCTAAGTAGTCACAAAATGGAGAATATTGGTTCTGTCTAGTACTTTAGTCTTTTAAAGTGTTGTTCTAAAAATAGCACTTCAAAGTCACATTAGCTGTCATAGGCCAAACTGATACAAGTACATGGTCAGAGTAGGTTGTTTCTGTTTTAACTTCATTTAGAATTTCAAATATATTTATAAAATCACCTGGCAGAAAAGTATCCCTTAGAGTTAGCCCCTGTATAAGCAGAAGTTTGTACTGTCCTTTTACTTTTGAGAAAATTATTTACAGAAAATACATGGAAAAATAATGCAGTGTCCTTGCAGAAAAAGGAAAACACCACAAAGGCTGTTAAACAACTTACTTAACCACAGTCTCTGTTCTAGGAATTTGTTATTACTTGGGCTTTTAAATAATAGAAAGTAACTTCCGTTGTAAAACTTCCCTAAGATCAGCAATAATTAAGCTAAGGTTATACTTTATCCAACTACAGCTACGATGGCAAAATTACGGTGTGAACCTGAGCGTTTGCAGAATTCCTTTCCAAGACCGAGTGGAACCACTTTTACTTTGAAAGAAAGTAAGTGTAACTGTCTTCATGATAGTTTCTGTTGCCGGTAAATATACACTCGCTTGTTCCTTGTTATTTTGAGATTATCTAGAAGTGCTTTATTTTTCATTGCTTTATTCCACTGCAGGCATTTGCTGTAATGGCTCAGTATTTGATTTTTTCATAACCCTTGGGTTTTTTTTTTTTTTTAACAGAAGTATCCTATTTTTCAGCCGTCATTGTCCTACAAGCTGCTGTGCATCAGAATTAAGTCCAGATTAAGTCAGTTCCATTCAAAATCTTGATGCTCAATTTTTATTTCCAAACTGCTAAAAGTGAGTAGCCTATAGCTACACTGATGAGGTTTCTCTGGAGGGTGGTGTTGCTTGCATTAAAAATAAATGTTATTAATTCTGTAAATTTAAATTCTATATGCAGATTTTTGCTTTACAAGGAGAGCAAGCTTTTGAGAAACTAGATGTTCTTTGCTTTTTGCCCTATTGAAGATAACTGAATTTCTTCTTTTTTAAGGCAAAAGCTGCTTATGTTGTTAACTTTTGGCTTTGAAATAAACACCCCCGAATGACTTGGGATCACTTTGAGTTGAGCAAGGGCATATTTAACGATAAGCTTGTCATTAAGCTTTTCGAGGTGTCTGTCAATCTGCCAATTTAGCAGAACACTAACTACATCCTAAACCGTTTACAAAGTGGTTGTGACACAGCTCCTGAAATTCCCAGTTAGCAAGGACTGAGCTAAATAGCTCAGATTCACACCCATCATGCATACCATTCTTCTCTAATGCTTCTGTTTTAATGGCAGCTTGTTTTCTCAATACTCCATTGTTCGCTGCTTGCTTCAAGTCTAAGATAGCATTTATAAATTTTATTTTTTAAGGCAAGGATATAGTTTCTCTGCACTGAAACAGCAACTGTAAAAAGACTTTCAGTTATTCCTAGGACAGAAAAAGCTATTGGCAGTGAACCTTTCACTTGGCTTAGGAGGATTTATGAAACAGTACTAGCCCAATGCAGTTCATGATCTTAAGCTAAAACCAAGTTTGGACAATAGCAAATGATTTTTGGGAAGGTATATTTTGATAGGTAGGATTAGAGGGGTGGAAAAATGCTTCTGTTACTTCTGGCCTAAGTTCTAAACCAGAAACCAGGGTCCTTGGCAGGATTGCTGTGACTGCACAGAGTCCTGCTAGTTCCAAAAGATACCAAAGGTGCAGCACTGTGGCCAGGACCTGTGTACCAGCACCCATGGATGGGCACTGTTTGTTTTCCAATTATATGAACATCTCTTCTAGCCGAAGAAGGCTGCAAGAAATGGTTATACTGTAAAACAAATACACTTCTTTAGAAGCTAATCACACACAGAAAAGTTGTTACTATGTATGTAAGTGTTTTAATCCAGAAGAGATGGTCTGCTCTAGGAATCTCCACAGAAACAAAATAAACAGGTTTTTGCAGGTTTCTTAGCAATTAACTAACTTTGCTTAAACAAAAGGAGCAAAATGCCGTGAACCTTTGTGAGGATAAAGGAAGCTGCAGGACCACCAGCTCCATTCGAGGGAGAGTTAAAGCACATTCCACTGAATGGAGGATTTCTGTTTCTAGGACATGCTTGGCATCTCCTTCAATTTAGAGTTTCTAAAGGGAATCCAGAGAAGGAGGTAGGGAGAAGTTGGTCATTTCCCAGCACCTTGCACAATACTCCCTCCTTACATTCAAAAACTGTACAGACCACTGACATTGAGTGGACTAGTTGGCATAATAACTTGGAAATAGTTTAGTGGTAGCTTATTAGATTAGTAGAGGGAAACATTATTAATTTTTTTTCAGTTTATGATTCTACATTTTTCCTTTACAGTAGATGTGGTCTTGGCACAGAAAAGAAAATATAATGCAGGTCTGTACTTCCAGTGTAGCCTCAAAGTATATATGCTTTCCTAGTTGTGCTTGCAGATACTGAATAGCCTTTGCAGTAACTATTTTGAAAACTATTTTAATCGCTTTGCCTCCTTTGACTAGGAGAGTGAGGATGAGATAAAACGACCTCCGGGGAAAGACTGAGAAACTCCTTTTCCGTGCAATATAACAGGCCTGCTCAGCTCCACTGCTTAATGCCTCCCCTACCCCCAGTTTAGATTCAGTGCCCTTTGTCCTGCCAGAAAGAAAAAGACACTAATTCTCTCCACTAAGATCTTGGTCTAATGTAATTTTTCATTGGCCAGCAGCTGTATTGCAAACCACACACACTTATTAGTTTGTCAATTTAATATTCCAAGATTGGCACTGAAACGGAAGCAAAGAAGATAAACTGAGAAAAGGAAATGGTGGTTTAAAAAGTGTGCATGGTGAACCTGCAGAACTCCTTGCTTATGGGCACAGTGAAGTCCAGAGCTCCATGCAAGAGGGAGGCTGTTAAACCGCATAATGAATACACAGTGGTATCAGATAGGATAACAGTATTCTAGAAGAAAAGTGTGTTCTGTTTTAGAACATAAACCAAACTTTGACAGGAATTATCAATAATCTTCCCCCCAAATATCAGTTATGCTTTAACTAACCATTCTACAGCTTGCACTTGAAGCGTGCAGTACTTCTTCTGGGTCAGCCACGGGCAGGATCCCGGCCAAAGCCATCCACTGCTGCAATCAACCATTCCTACCACGTCGTTTCCCACGTGTGCAGAGATGCACGGCTTAGGCAAGCGAGGTGCTCCGTTCAAGTGCCTTGTTCTTAGCGTCCGTGAGGGCCGGACCCAACGTGGACAGGGCGTATGCCAGGCCTGCTCCCCGCGTGCTCTGCGAGTTCTACAGCGATGTAGCTCTGGAGCCCACAGCAGGGCTAGCAACAGTCTGTGGCATATCACTAAGTTCACAAACAGATTGTCATTTCTACAATAATACAAAATAGCTTGTAAAACCAATATGTAACACTGTATATATGCATGAATATAAAAATAAACGACACCATCAATATGTAAAACTTCACAACGATGATGGAGAACAGTTTTCTTCTCAGCGGTCTTCGGTGTTGAGGAGCTGGTTCTCGTTGTCGTAGCCGTCAGGCAGGTAGGCTTTCCTTAGCTGCTCCGACTTGGGTATGGAACTGCCGTTCTTGACGTAGCGGGACAGGAAGGCCCGCACGGACGGGTGGTCGGCCTTCTCCAGCGGAATGTTTGCTTCCAGGCACATTTTCACAAAGTCCTGGATGACGCTGTTCTTTTCTGTCTGAGCAGTGCTGTTGCACTGAAGGGAGGCAGTCAGAGTCCTTTGCTTCTTCCTGACGTTCTGTTCTTCAAACTCTGCCTTTCGCTTCGTGTGCGTTTTGGACTTGAGGTGGTCGTTGATCGCAGACTTGCGGACATGATTCAGAACCACGTTGCAGGAGGTACAGAAGAGTTTTCCTCCATCTTCATGCAGTTCGCTGCCAAACTCTGTGACACGATCCTGAGGCGTGACATACAAAGCGGTCTTGGAGCGGTTACGGGAAGGGGGTGACTTTACTCCAAATCGTTCCATTGTTGCCTTCAATAAATTGTCCTGAAGGCTGAGGGGACAGGAAAAAAAAAAGCCATTAAAGCATGTTAAGGTTCCCAACTTAAAGACTGCAATCTATTCAGTATCCAACAAAGAGCCTGTTAAAAGTCAATTACATGAAAGATATGTGTGCAAATATTGTTGAAAAGGCCTACATCTTGAAGTCCAGATAATGTTGCGAAAGAAATTCCTCACAGGTGTCAGAGCTGTCCTCCGAGGTGTCTTTGTCACCCTCAAACTGCATCTGTTCATCACTGAGAAGCAAACAGAAAGGCTTTTTTTGTTGTTTTTCCTAAAGAGTTGTATTCCTCACAGGTGTCAGAGCTGTCCTCTGAGGTGTCTTTGTCACCCTCAAACTCCATCTGTTCATCACTGACAAGCAAACAGAAAGGCTTTTTTGTTGTTTTTCCTAAAGAGTTGTTTTGCCCTTTATTCTTTATGGTAAATACCATCTTCTTGATATTTTAGCTAAGTTGAACTGTCAAACATCTACAACGAGGTGCTAATTTTCCATTTATTTCCTGAAAATCTGTATAACTTATGTTAGCAAAAACTTAACTGTCAAAATATGGGGCACAAAGGCCATTACTGTCATCTCTAAAGACCAATACAAAAGCCTGAGCTTTGTCAGCACTCATTTGGGAACACCCTCTTGTTTTGTCCCAGCTCAAACCACAACTATTAGACTGAGTCTTAACTTAAGAGTAAAAAGAAAATCTTTTGTCGTTGCAACACAAGCTTTGTGAAACAGCCAGCCTAATGTGAACAGAAACGTGCATGTGTTTCAACTTGAAGCAAGGACCTAAACAGGCAGCTTCTCTGAGGAAGGTAATGAAAAGAGAACAAGTTTTTGACTCCCTTTACATCACTCTAAACTACACTGTGCTACCAAAGAAAGCCAAGTGTACTAAAATTGAACATCTATTGGTTTTTAATTATTTATGATGGAATAGCTGGAATAGATCTATTTATGTCCTTTTTAAAGAAAAGCTCAAGTCAAGACACAGCTCAGCTTTGAGATTTTTGAGAAAAAATGGCCATTTAAACTAATAAATTAAGTTCAGTCTACTTCCTTGTCAAAAAAGAGACTTTTTTTTTAAAAAAAAACAGCAAGATGCCTGGGCATTTAGTTATGAATATGAATGACTTTGGAGAACTTAGTGCTAACGATGCATTCCACCTATAAGACTGCATCATAGAAGTGAGTACCTCTGGATGTATTATTCTGTGTCCCTATTTATTCTGATACATGCACAATCTGCTGCTGCAGCATTTTGAAAGATCATCCGAACTTACAAATCAACTCATCTATAGATCTACAGATGAGCTTCTCCAACTTAGAGGACTAGATGGGATTTCTGCTGCTCAGAACCCCTTTGACTTGTTATGAAGATGCACAAGGAAACAACACAGAGTAAAAGAAGAGAGAATTCTGTCTTAAAAATTAGCCTTTAAAAATACATTAAGATTTGAGAAACCCTTTGGAAAAAAAATGACAAAAATTCTGACATTAGTTAGTATTTTGAACTATGTGCTAGTTTCCAGAAGTATCAGTTTTGAGTGACACTAGAGACTAAGATATATAATTCTTCACTTGGAGTACAGCTTTTTTCACTCCTTTTTGTTGCTTTATGCAATTTATCTGCGTGAGTTTCCCAAGTCCCTATTTCTTGAAATTGATCCTTGAACAAACCTTACTCTGACACAGACTTGTTGCTTGGAGTTTTGAAATATGAGAAGAAATCACCTATGTCAAAAATGGAAGCAGCAATTCTGTGAACTGCAGAGTCCAGGATTTTTGTTGGTGGTGGTATTTTATTTAGTTAGTTATTTTTGGGACCTAGAGTTTGACACAGATTCCTTGATGTCTGTTAATGCCTGAACTACCAGTTCAGGCCCAAGTGCAAGGGATTGTGCGTGCAGATAGGGCACCCAGCAGAGACATCCTATCCGCGGTTACACTTTTGAATGAGCTGAGCTTGTCAGAAGCAGCAGGAGCCCTGGGCAGCACAAACGAGCAAGCCCGGGCTAAAAAAAGGGACCCGCGTGCAGATAGGGCACCCAGCAGAGACATCCTATCCGCGGTTACACTTTTGAATGAGCTGAGCTTGTCAGAAGCAGCAGGAGCCCTGGGCAGCACAAACGAGCAAGCCCGGGCTAAAAAAAGGGACCCCGGAAAAAGAACCATTAAAGGTACACATGCTCTTTAGGGAAAGCAAGTTTGCATTTTCCCGTGTCAAACAGGTTGAACTAATTACCGGCTCCCTCCGCTGACCAGCTAACTAGGAGGCAGCGCCGGGCACGCATGTGTTCCCGGGGGGCCGCACGGTGTGACCGCTGCCCAGCCGCGCGGGCTCCCGC